TCATATGACATATCTATTTTCATTTGGGTACAGGGTCGGATCCAGGATTTCCCTCAGGGAGGGGTTAGGGGCACTTAGTAGAGGGTGCAGCCCACAAAAAAATATTACCATGAAGATACAAAATAAGGAAAGTATTGAAGGATATTAGGGGGGGGGGGGGGTGCGTACCCCCTGCACCCACCAGCTGGATCCGCCCCTGGGGTCTGTTGGACTACTTTACTTAGCACTCATAGGGCTCTAGTTCATGGGTTAAGTATCCAAATTCAAACTGAATAACCATGAGCATCTTTATTTCCTCAGCCGTATGTGGATAACTTCAAAAAGCACGGATATGACACTCTTGCGTTTATCAGTGGAATGTCGCAACAGGTAGTTTATYTCTCCTCTTTTCTTCACTTATAATTGGAGCAGACTTTTTAAAAACAAAAATGTGCAAAAGCACGGATTATGATACCAGCACGGCAAAACACATGGCACGGAACGTCCCCTGGTCGAGAAAAAAAAATGCAGTGTTTTTTGCTAACCATACGAAATCCGCTCTATCAGCACCTTCAAGTAGAATAATAGGCTCTATTGTTTAAGCCTCGTTCTTTARAGTCACTCTGTGTTGAGCCAACCAATTACCAYCAATGTTCTTTGGCGCTGCGACCTGACCCCCTTCAAGGAAAAACTGACTTGCTTTTGTTCTTAGGATCTTGAAACAATTGGAATCACGAGACGAGGGCACAGATCTAGACTAAGTCGTGCTATAGCAATGCTGCCTCCCCTCATAATTGAGGAGGGAATACCAGTAAGTGAAAGAATTCAGTGAAAACCTGCAAAGCTTTCTGATTTCAAATCCACCATCGGGTAAAGAATTAAAATTCATTCGACTATTGCTCAATGCAAATCAGTATAACTACTGGGCTGCCTGTTACACCATAACCATCCAGTAACTACTGGGCTGCCTGTTACACCATAACCAACCAGTAACTACTGGGCTGCCTGTTACACCATAACCAACCAGTAACTACTGGGCTGCCTGTTATACCATAATCCACCAGTTAACTACTGGACTACCTACACGCGTGCTTTTTGAATGTATTGTGATATGCCTCGTTCTTTGTGTGCCTTTTCAGACCAATGTCAAGTTGTGGCTGGAAGAGTTAGGTCTTGGTGAGTATTGGCAAAACTTTGTGGACAACTTCTGTACAGAACCAAGTGACTTAGAAGACCTTAAGATGAGAAGTAAAGAAAACCTTAAATCAGAATACAAGGTGACAAAGATGGCTCACCTGAATATGRTGCACAGAGCAATTCAGAAATTGAAATATGCTAACCGAGGTAAGAGAACAAATTTACACCATTCAGTTGCAGATCCATAAGGGGGTGACTAACTATAGATTACTGCTTTTGAATGGGATGATTACTTGAGGAGGCTGTTTATGAAAAAAATCTCAAGCTTRGTTCTATTCATTGCAGAACAAATACAAATTGCAGTGGCCCGACGACAACTGGAGATGCTTCCYACAGAAACCTTGGAGCCAATACATGAATATGATGAAGCTAAAGAGTACTCATTTTGGGAATCTTTGAGGCAGCAATGCTTGCTTCCAGAGTCTGCAGTCTTTACTGACAATGCAGAGCTGAAAACAAAACTGGCAGATTTGCGAAACTCAGTTGTCATGATCTTTTTTGTGGCAAATGCTTTGTGGATGGTCGTCATTATGGTTCTGGTTAAGCAAACYAGGTTGAAAACATTAGGTGTTGATGTTTTAGGTTTATCCTTTTTGATAGTTTATGGTACAGTGACATTTTGTCAGTTTTTAGCCATGATATTTCATCGTTTGACTACTCTACTGCATATCTTAGCGCGTACACCATGGATATGCTGTGGCACACAYAAAACTAACTATAAAGATAACATTACAATTGCTACACGAGAATCATAGCATCYTATTCACAAATCCATCAATTACATTTCTTTGACAGTAACAACCCTGCAAAATATAAGAAAAAGCACACAAAATAATGAGGTGTGTTACTCAACTTCAATATCATTTTCAAACAATAGCTCAGTATAATACTRACATGAAACTTTACTTTTACTTTTCTTTAATGTTCATTTAATCATCACAWAGTAGTGGAAATACTTTAAATTGTTAATTTGATATAATAAAYTTTATAATTTTATAACACAATATTCAAAATATCAGTATTTGTTTTGRGGGGTGATGAAAATGTATCTAAATACACATAGCTTTAATAAGATGTTTTGAAAAAGTTGAATATTGTACAGGCAGGAACTACAACAATGGACATCACTTTTGAAAACCATTATACATTAATCACTATTATAACTATTAAGGGAGCATCATATAAAGATCTATAGAATATATTTTTTTCAATAAAATATTTTGATATTGGAGTCAATCTTGTATTTTTTTATTCTTTGCTAATATGTCAGATATTTGTGACTGATTGCCATCAGAAATAAGAAAAATTAGAACAAATGAGAAATCAAAAAGAAATTTTCAATATGTGCAAAGATTATCTTTATCAGCTAATGCAGAATTTCTGCTTTCAAATCTGGTTCACATGGTCTATAGAAATATAACTTGTTGATGTTATTATCCCATTTATCTGATGGTGTGTGAAGGACTTAATGATATTTACTTGTATTATTATTGTTGTCATTTTTATTGTTGCCATTGTGTTCATAGTTGAAATAGAAAAGACTTCGATTTTTACCATTATTTCACAATTGTTAATTATTCTGCCAAAATTGAAAACTAAGACCCCCCTCCAAATTGCACAAAATAACAGTGATTGTGTTCTTAGCGTGTTTTAGGATGAATTAATGCATAAAACATAAAAATATTGGGTTTTCGTGGGTCTTTGCTTTCGATACAGCCAGTCTCATTCTTCCTTTGTATATTTTGAAAATTTATCTAAACACCTTCTGGTGCAGTCAGGATACCATTGTTTGCTGCTGGCAATTGTTCACTATGGCCAGATGAAAGTCTCTTAATGCCAGCTCTGGCATCTTTTACTACCATGGGAAGCAATATGACACAAATGATATAAATTCCATAGGGAAGGGGTGGTGTTGAACCAACTGGCCAAAACCACAAACCTCTTCTTTGTGCATCACGTAAATGATGAGACAGTACAGCAACAACAAACATGTARGGCAACTCTTGTAGGCAATGAATATTTTGTCCACACCAAACTTGTAAAATAGGGGTCAGGATTGGGACAATTGTTGTTGTGTGTAGCGGAGGTCTTGTGTGGAGAGAGTTGGCATCCTGAAGAACATGAATTAAAAAGCACATTTGTAGTAAAAATTTGCAATAGTCTCCTTTACAGTTAACCTGTGCCATCTTGAAAGGTAGCCATACCTAAGTTGCATAGAAGTGAGACAACTGTTGAGAACGTAATGATAGATACTTGTGAATAATTGTCTGTGGGTGTGAAAGAAGGTTTCTATCATTGCACGCTCAATGGTCATCTCGCTTTGATGCAAAGGCACAGCTACCTTTCAAGATGGCTCAGGTAACTGTGAAGGAGACTATAGATATAGATCATCCTTTGTACACAATATCAAGCAAATTGTACATTGTATGTTCTTTGCTTTTAAAATTTATTGCACAAGTAACAGAGRATAGTCTTTTGGTGTAACCCAAACCATTAATAATCTCTAGCACTCAATAAGAATCACAAATGACAAGTATGAAAACAAAATTAATACTACTCYATGGAAAATAATAAGAATCTGTTGTCCTTACCTTTATTTTGAGCGATTTTGCCATTACAAAATGATCAATATCAAGWCCACTAGACATCGCAGCACAGCAAACTGCTTGAATAACACTCTCCCTTCGAATCCCTGATACGACTAACCAACTTACAGCAGCAATAAGACCATGCCCGAAATTATCTAATAAAGCTCTGATATAATCATTTTTCTTCACAAAGTGTCTAAATACTAAATAATCTATGCCAATGCATAATAATCCCAGAAAAATGTATTGRAATATGAACATTGTCTTTCTGCAACAATAAGCGATTGCATCCCACATGGAGAAAAGAGCACGCCATATGTAAGCGCTTAGACGTTGAAGGAATCTTGTCAGACAAATCACCATACCAAAGAAAAGTTTGTCGAAATGTTTATAGAAATAACTTTGTACAGTCAATAAGAATGCCACGAAACCTATTCACTTGCTTTAGGACATAGTTGGAGGCCATAAACATATGGGTATTGATAAAAGCATAGCACATTTGAGAACGATTTTATGTGAGAGCTTTTTACACTTTTTGAGTCATTTCTTCCGCCATGTTGAAAATTTCANAGCTTGTTATCCGGCTGCGGTGGTTCGCACAAGATTACAGATCCAGCGTTGTGACAAGCTTTACAAGAGCACATGGGACGCATTCAAAAAGATAGCAAGYCACGAAGGTTTCGGGGGACTATACAGAGGTTTTCTRTTTGCACAAATAGGAATTATTACAGGAGCGTCGTATTTAGTTACTTACGAGGTATCAAGGAAAAAGCTATCTTACCTGGATGAAGCAAGCAGAGGTTTCATTGCTGGTTTTGCCGCCGGAATCGTCGACCAATGCATCAACAATCCTGTGCAAGTTGTTCTTCAAAGAAGAATGCTGGAAGGTCAACAYATCACYCCMAAAGGTCGTAAGCAACTTCGAGGAGCTGCAAGGATTGTGTTTGAAGTGTATTCAGAACATGGCCCAAAYGGTCTTTACCGTGGCTTCGRAGCATCACTTTTGGGAAGTGGACTAGATAGTGCCRTGTGGTGGGCATGCTACGGTGTTCTTTTGCAGCACCTTGGAGATCGCGTCCCWGATGGAACACCACATGTGGTTGTCCAGGGCACTGCAGGCGCTTTATCCGCATTTGCTACAACAGTTATTGGAAACCCTTTGGATATTATCAGAACTAGATTACAGGTATGATCAATCAATCAATCAATCAATCTTTAATATTTTATGATAATCTTGACAGGGAAAATGATTAGGGAGTATACATTTGTCAAATGTAGGATAAGCTAGTGACTGCAGTGGTTCGAAGAAGCATGACAAAGTGTTGTGTGTCTAGCATGAATGGGAGTTTCTAGTCCATCCATTGTCAGATGTAAAATGTCCTAATTTCATAATAACCGCCAGTCCATTGCACTCAATAGCTGAGAAGTTTATAATAGAATTGATAAAAAAGTATCTTTGATTTCAGGTTGAAGGAAAGAAGTCGATATCTAAAGTCTTAGTTGATCTACTAAAGAAAGAAGGCCCATTAGCTCTATCTAAAGGATTGCTTCCAAATCTAGCCATGGCTATACCAACAAACATGTGTGTCATATGTGGTTACGAGACAATTAAATGGTTAAGCCTTAAAGAAGAAATGGTACAACTATACCAATAATTAAAATTGAAAATTTCAATAATGTGTAATAATTTCATTCATGGCTTAGTAATTATTCTACTATGAAGTGCTAACCTTTTTCCTTGGCTGGACAAGGGTTAGGTGTAGGACCATAATTTCAATCTGTATTGTAATTTTTTTTCAACAATTTTCATAATTATCCAAAATAAGTCCCCTTCTGATCAACATAATTATTGAAAACACAAAAACAGTAAAATTACTCATGAATATTACAAAATGCTTATTTTATTATTTCCATGATGTATATCATCCYCACATACATATGATATCACTCAGTATTCTATCTTACATCCTTTTACCATGTCAGGCTATAACTGCCTGTTGCTATGGTAACTATCATACAATAGATTATACTTGAGGGATTTACTGTCATTAAGCATGTTAATGAGTGCTGTTTCCTCATTAATTTCAATACATCATAATATAATAATATAAAGCGCCTGCAGTGCCCTGGACAACCACATGTGGTGTTCCATCTTTCTATTTATAACAAAAAAGCAAAGAGGTTGTTAAACTTGTGATATAAAATTGCTCAATAAAATTTCTTTTTCTTTCACATTTTTCATTATTTACTGCTTGGAAATCTAAGTTATCCAAGTTAGAGTGCATACTTCAGTATATCCGTGAAATGTTTTATTGCAAATTGAATTCAGCTTTAAAATGAATTCTGTCTTTAGTGCAATTTCTAATGACATGTTTCAAAGATATAATGAATGCACTCTAGCAGAGAGAGATTTAAGGGAGCGGGAAATTAAATGTTTGCGAAAAATATCATAGCAGGGAAAGTAAAACAAACYGACTATATTATTCCTAATATTCAAATTTGCCTCAAAATAAAAATAGCACGTAAGAAGAAATGATAATATTACAGTATGACACAGCTTGATGGCTGGACATTTTCTGCTTGCTTTTCTTCACCTCTTCCTGCTGCTTTCACACAGTCTACAATCTAGCAACAACAACAACACTATAAATTACAATAAATTCATGAAAAGACCATAGTAAGCTTGTTTTATAGAGATATTAATGATTTAGACTGAATTGTAAAGAAAAATTAGTAATAATTACATTTAACAATTTCTTTGTAATGTATTATCATAAAGTAATATTAATTTTTATTGTACCTCATCAAATTCYGGCATCCCTCCTTTCTTTAGCTTGGAAAATATCTCCCTTCCATTAACAGAGACCTCAAATGACCCTGCACAATTTATAACAAATAGCATTCACGGATATGCAGTCTATGAGTGGACATAAAACTTTTGTATGAATTTGCAAAACCATTTTGCACTTTCCAGCTGCAGTGTACAGTGTGCATAACACCTCTCTCTCGAWTTCCTTTTTTTTACACTTGACATACCTGTTCTTCCTGTTTTACCATCAACAATAGCTTCTGGACATTCTTGTTTAATGGTATCAGCCAATTCCCTGAATTGGCCATAGTAACCTCATCCACTACTGTAAACCATAAAATTGAGAGCAACATTGAGAAGTTTTGAAAATTGCAAGAATAATAGCATGTAAATTAGTCTTTTTTAGGATATGAGGAGGTTAAGTTAAGATATTTTTCCTCCATCTTATTTGTCACTAGCAACAATAGTGGCAAACGTCCAGCTCAGCCATGTATGTCACACTTCTGTAACGTCCCTATCTCAATCACCAGTATATTGTTCACATTTCTTTCTATCACATTTCTCTAGTGCATATTTCCTCTTGGAATTGATCTGAAATGGCTTTTATAATGATGTTTCGATCACTCAAGTCAATGCGGAAAAAAATATCATCTATTGCATCATGATCTAATCCTCTGACAGGTGACAGGCTCTCTAAACATTTAAGTTACTTCAGCATAATTAAGTTAACATATTTTGAAATGTACAAACATAACACCAACCAAATCACTATTTTTTCGTTCGGGTAGATCAACAAATCCTTAATCCTTAAGTAAAAGAAGTATAAGAATTAAAGGAAAATAAACTCGGCCACACATTTCAGATTCGAAAGACATTTTCGTGGAAAACGATTTTGTCATGACACAGCAGATTCTTGAGGGCTGATTATCTTGTGTGTTTCTAAAGTGTGACTTTAACAAACTCCTTATAACTGCATCTTACATAAGCTTAGTAAAGAAAGCTTGACAGTTATCGAATATAAGATGTAAGCACGAATTTAAGTCTTAAGTTATAGGTTTTAATTCCGGTCATTTCCTCGTAAGTCACGATTAAAAATAATTACAATAATGGAAAGCACCTTAAACGAAGAGAAGACTTACCAGTACTCAATAAAAACGTTCACTTTCTCTGCCATTGTATTAAATCTGATTAAATCTCCTTTGCTAGTACACGTCCAAGTAGTGTGAGTTGCTTCGTTTCTAGAGTTCGTTTATGTTGAGAAAAATTCCCGAGTCCTTCACGATGTTTGATCGAACATCTAACGAGAGATTTCGGAATTCAAKCGAATCTGCCGCTGACCCTYTGAAACTACCACATGGAATAAAATAACCAAGGTAGGCAAAAGAGAAAAAAAAAAAAAACAGGAACGAATTTTATAATGATAATAATTTCAAATGAAGTGATGATAGCGATAGTAAGAATACTTAGATGACCACTTCAGGACAATTTAGCGGCGATATCTTGCGATATCACTGTCCTTCACTCAAAAGAATRACAGACGCTCGGATTGCCTGAAAATGGATTTTCCGGACTGAAAAAAGGGCCACAGAAAAAAAAAGTCAGGATAACGTGGGTGTTTTGCATCCCTTTTAATTGTATATTTTAGGAACTCTTTATTGGAGACCACACCAAGTGCACGTTTGTAGTGATCCGACCATTCCGAGGCTATAAAAAAGTAGACACACCGATTAAAAATGGCAGCTTTCAAACCTAAAAATAACGCTATGTAATTAAAATCCGTGGATTGTGGGACAGATGACAGCACGTATCCTCCATCTGCTTGTCAGGAAGCCGAATGAGTCTGGTGATATCTCACTGTATTTTAGATCATATGGCAGCAAAAGCTGTCCTGCTAWGTACGTTTTGGAATTTAACTGAACTAATGAGTCATAACGCTAACGGGTTTATTTTTATCTATAACCGCACTATTCCGTACACGTTCTATAAYCCAATATCAATTGCTAGTCTTCTTAACATTTCATATGTTCCATCAATAAATTAAAATTGGATTTAAAGTTCGTCGCTGAATATATGTTGAATATAAGTTTTTACCATAGTCCCGCAATGAATACATCTCATGCTCCAGGTTCCAGAGTATGTACACCTACTTGCGAAAACGTTGTCATAGAAAATAGGGCATTTGTATTTAGTCAAAAAGGAATAAATTAAAAAAGACAAAAGAAGATCACTGAGGCTGAACGCTTTCTTTTGTCTTGTTTTAATTTATTCTTTTTTCTAAATTCAAATGTTCTATTTTCTATGACAACGTTTCTGCAAGTAGGTGTATATAACACTAAATCCATCAAATCATGCCCGAAAAAGCACATCCATGTGGCAGTAAAACAAACTAAGTTGCGACGTGGTTCCAGAAATTTCCTTATTTGTTTTTCAGTCCACTTGAGAAATTAGTTCATTTTGCCGGAAGCCTAGTATCTTAATTACGGATCATAGGTATTCCAGTACCAGTGCAAATTTTTTTAATGGTTAATAAAAATGGACGACAGTGGTGAACCTTTATGAAAGACTACAATCAATMAGGTTTAKATTTTCATGACTAATGCTGTTTTGATGACCATTAGTTCAGTCAGTGGCACCTTGTTTCCTCATTTTGGAGATTTTCCAGATAGACAAGGCGAATTTTTGGCCTCTAAATGTTGACATCCTGTCATATTCCTGCTGTTAACTTATCAGCTGGTCAACGTTTTTTCTGCCCATTCAAAATAACCAGACGATAAGCACTCCAAAGCAACTCATCACCAGCGTCTTCTTGCAAGAGGTGACTGTATGAAGAAGGATCTAAAAGTTAGAGATCGTGCTATTTTGTCTAATTTTAATGAATTCATCCTCTACTACTATGCCTCAAATGTCCACGAACTTCTGTATGAAAATTGGCTATCATCGTATGACAACGATTATGCAAACAGCTGTACTMTTGTTGTGGTTTAGAAAAGATAGCTCGTTTGACATAGAGTCATGCCTACAGACACGTTTGGTTACCATCGCATTGTGCCCTCAAATTGACGTCTAAAACCAATCCTGGCTGGATATTCTATTATTCCGACGTAAAACTAACTTCTTATCTAAGGCGGAATATTCTCTTTATTGTTTTTCTTATCAGCAAAAAAAGTGCATCGAAGCCGCCTTTAGTGTTGCATCCGCCACCTTGCATAAAACGCACCCAAACAATAGTTTTGGGACAATTAASAAATGTTAACCTGATTTACATATGCAAGAGAAATAAAAATAAAGCCGAAAATTAAAAACAAATTCTGCTTTTGACATGCTGTCAGTTCATCACACGCTCGTAAATCTATGATAATACCCACAGCACAATGATGTGGACACCTTTCGATTTATATTCATGAATGTCGTTGTCCCTAACGACGTGGCTCTAGCATAACAATAGCTACCTGAAGCTATCTAGAGCGCTTGCTACCGAGTTACATGATTTGCGTGTAAAACGTGACGCACTGACTTGCGCATTAAGAAATCYCCGAGCACAAATTTTGACACGTGCTTCCATCTCGTGTAAYGCCTTACGTGAACACTCCACGTTGATAATAATGCAATGTTTTCAATGCGCATGCGTAAGACAGACAAGACGATTAGATAGAACATTCGTGATCTATATATTGTCAGCATATATTGTTCTATTTACCACGTAACGTCAACATGTATTGTGCTGACTATGTTAAAATGAACTCTTACTATGACTAATGGTTGAGTGGGCAACGACTCGGGAGCTCATCATTACGTGTATTTAGAAAGTCGATCGGGACACTTATAAATTATGAAATATAATGCATCATGTTTTAGCAATGGTATAATCATTTAAAATGTCAAACTAAATTATTAGACCTTTTATAGTATTATTATATAATGTAATCACATTCTTAGAAAAGTTATGCATTGTATTGGAAAAGCTACGTTGGCCTTTTTCGCTGAATTTATTTTAGGAAGTCTTAGTATAYTAATGTCCAGCATCCAAAACATTATCAAATACATGTTGGGATCAGTTATTTTTTGTTGTTTAAATTCAGTTGACAAACTATCTAAAATGAAGAAAGCAAAAACGAGTTCATCACTTCACTTCTTCTTGTTCAAGCAAGCCCATTATAGGGCTCTCGGTAATAAATATGACATGTAGTACATAAATTATGAATTCCGATTTCTCAATACACATCATTCTTATGATTGGCTATAGCGACTGTCACTTCTTCAATACGTGTGAGACCACATTATGACGCAATTAAAAGCTTGGAAGTAATTACGGCCGCAACTAGATGTATATGCCGGCAAAGGTCTCAATCATAAAACACTGACTGCGCAGAGCGGACTGAAATAGATCTTATAGTTTATAATATAATTATTTGTCATGCTTGCGAAATGCTATCTAACTCAAATCTGTCAGTTTTTGTAATGACTTTGAGTAATTGATTTTTATTCGKGTGTCAGCTGGTCGTTTGGAAACTAAACGGTGCTAAGGCTAGATAACAATAAATAGGCTTTGAATTCATTTACATATTGGTTTAGTAATTGCTTAAATGAATAGCTAGGTGTTACAGGATCTATTCTCTTTTAGAAAATGGAAAACGCAATAATTTACTTTCTTTATATTCAATTTTCACACCTGCGAAACCCACACTTCAGTAACAACACTATCGGTTGCTTTTTAGAAAGTTTCAAACTAAACTGATTTACTTTTGAATGAGGAAAGACTGCTCGTTAAAGCATAAAAGTGCGGCAATTATCTTTTTTCTTACACAACTGTCAACGTTTGGATTGAAAAACAAACAAGTTGTACCATGCCGCTTCTTCACATAGCCAAGAAAATACTCKTTGTCATTGTTATTCAAAACATAATAAACCAATACTCACAAGAGAGACCTCAGGACCGCTGAGCTGGAATGCAATCTTAAAATTTCAATCAAGATTTCTGGACCGTTTCCTTTTTTGATATCGCTACATTGATTAATTGAAAGGTCCAATTTCCTTATGGCTTTAATAAAACTARGCGTTTCCAGAATTCACARAGTCGTCATATAAATGTTACGAGCGCGAGTCRTGCTTAATCTCCACTGGGATTTTGCCATTTATTTTGTCTCCAACGTTAGGTAACTATTAATCTAGCTTTAATCTCCAAATAACCTGGAAATATTTATTGAAAAATAACAAATTGAAAAGCTGTTGACTTCGGAGKTTTTTTGGTCTAAAATTAGATCCACGTGTTGTTGTGTTTTGGAGCTACTAAAAAATGACCCTGTTACATGTCTTACATTGAAAGATGCTCTCCAATTAAAACAACATTTGTAAGATTTCTTTGTGTAGTTAGCTCACTGCTGGGGCCAACATGCTGTCAAATGATGAACCGTGGAATGTTTTTTGTTTCTCTCTTAACTTGAACCTATATCAGATATGTCTTGAACTCTATGGACAGATTCMCGTAAAGGTCCGTTGAGATAATCTTGCTGCGAAAAAAGATTAATTTTTCATCAATCACATGAACTAAAACTGTTTGCCAGAAAATTGAAATCACATTATYTATGCTTGTACCTCCAGAAATAAAATCCCTGTATGGAAAACCCCAACAAGGAGAAAAAGACAAAAGATCCAACATCGTGATGCGATATGGTAAAAAAATCAACAACCAAAGTACCTGGTCTGCGAATAGTATGCTTTGTATTCAAGTAGATCCATTCTGACGTCACGAACCGACAAGCAGGCCGAATTATTTATTATAATACATATACAGAACAGTACGTTCTCTGCCATATTCCATTTGCATTAGCCCGTCGATTGTGCAAGACTGCTTCCTTACTCAGTTCTAAAAGGCATTTGAACTTCTTTGAAATTCAGTCGAACCGTTGAACACTGAACTAGCTATCATGCTTATCGACTTGGGATGAAGAGGATATACAGAATTTCGCCAGTTATCGTGCTGCTCTGGGCATTATGCAGCTCGCCGCGTAAAATAAACTCACTTACGCTCATGCCTTTTGGCCATGAACATGGAGATACAAAGCTTTCTAAAGGAGATGATCAAATGTCCCGAAAAATCTCGCTGGAGCCATCTTTGATTTTATCTGGGAAGCAGTACCGTTCGATCTATGTAAGTAAATTGAAAAGGTTTATTTGTATTTTCCTSCACGAGCGCGCGCATCTGAGTGAAATGGAAACATAGCGAAATTTCGTCCGGCAGACTTTAAATGATAAACAGATGAAAGAGCTATTTTAAGAGATGATACTTCTTTCATTGTGAAACGAGAGTGGAAAAATGTGTTTTCGTTTTGTGGCTCATTTATATTCCGACTAAAGGGAAATAGTGGAAAGCGATCTGTGAAATATTACACATGCATAGCTTAACATTATATATTTTTATACATATTATATTCAAATCTACAAATACATTCCATGTTTTGAATTGTAGCCTTTCGCCAATYACTGAGGCCATCTTTGCGCAGTTACAAATGAAATTTAAGCGTTTGAATATGGATATTTTGTGCTTGGCAAGGATTGGAAATTATTAAGCGCCAGCGTAATATTTATAACCATATAGTAATTGTTTCTTTGTAAATATATTAACTAGCTTGTATTGATATATTGCTATCGCTATTAAGATTTGAATTGTGGATTCACAACGGAGCTAAAAGTAAAGACCATATATCTGTCTCTAAATTTTGCCTTAAATATATGTAGAATTTGACTGACATGCATGAGGAAGTCTTCACACAAAACATCTATTTTTTATTTAGTATAATCCTAATTGAACAGTATCTGAAATTTACTCCAATGCTCGTTGGGGAGCATATTTAAGTACTTGCGGACTATACCTTGTTTTGGTTGATTTTTCTTACTTTAACTGCTAAATTAAAAGCAATTTAAGGTTTAGATGAAATTAGAATTGAACATTCGAACATTCTAGCATTCATTTGTTTCCCAATTTGACCAAGTGATATAGTCTAATGTCTTCTAGCTCTGGTTTTCTATTTCCGTGGGGAGATTGTAATATCAAGCTGTTTTGAGTTTGTATTCTTTATTACTGATAAAAAACACAAGCGTCGATGCGATTAAATATTGTTTTGATTGTTATTTCCATTTCCTTGATTCAAAAAAACTTCCTTCATTTGTTTATGCCACATATTAAAATATTTGTAAAATCATAACTTCTGAAGGACTTCTCCTCTTGTTTGACCGTCTCCTTCACGAAAAACAACTGTGCTCAAACATAAGCATTCCCCAAAGAAATTACCAATGAAGACATGTCGAAATTCTTTACTATCCTCGATAAACAAATAGAATTTGGAACAGCGTGAGGCTTTCAGATAGGAAGCCATTCAATCCTTTGCGGTCTACATGTTTTAACTTCGTCAAAAAAAAACCCGAAATACGATTCACAACTACTTTGTGAGCTCTTTTTGGTTAGAAACTTTTGTTATGGTTACTTTTTTGTCGAAATTGACTTTTTCTTTATGTATATAAAAACTTTCGCGGGTATCTGAATCGTTGACCGCACGCGTCTATTACCCGCCAAAATTGACTATTTACGTGATGAGGAGCTTGGCGTGAATAGCGAGCTCATAATGCAATACTGTGGTTTTAGCGCATTTTTCGTATGAAAAGCCACTTTGAATCAAATTTTAAATGGATTGTTCCTAGTTTCTGGAAGATCAAATTGATTTTTTCTTGATGTTGAATAGAATTTATTGTACAGATGTTTATGTTGCGTGATAAAGTCGAGTGGGCAACTTTTTTTCATGGAACGATATGAATAAGGGAAAATTGGTAAAGAAGCATAGCGGACGGGTATTTATCAGTGCCGTAGATTATATTGTGAAATATTTCAATTAAGATAATCTTTTCTTGACGTAAATTATTCATCTTAACTTAGAACCACTTTTGCATATCATTCGAGGGATATTCGTTAAGTAAATTTATGAGTATTGTAGAATAAAAAGCGATTGTAAGTTTTTTGGTGGAAACTTTCAGTAAACCGTTTAATAAGCTGTCTTCCCTCATGCATTACAATCTGGCCATTTGTKTTTTTTAATTCTAAGCTTCAAATCAAGACCGTTTAATAAAGTTTTATTGCATTAGGGAGACAGAAGCGACATTTACGGCATAACGGAGGCGTTAAGGCGAAGTTGATACGAGTATAGAAAGAGAAAATGACTCTTGATTAGGGTATTTATATCAACATGAAAAATGTATAATATAAAACTGTGAATTGATATAAATGAAAGCACATATACCGATAAGATATATGATACCAATTCGAAATGATACTGTAACTTCAGGAAGTAGYTCCAAGGATTATGATAATTCAGGATAGCGCACCATTATTGCAGACTAATTTCTGTGTAAACACTTTGGGTTTCCAAAGGAAAGTTTCAAATAAAAGAGAGAATTCAAAGTGACATTTTAATAATATTTTGAGCAAAAGATAATTATCCATAAGAGAAGTAGTGTTTGTGACTTGCGCTTGGCCTAAGGTGCCAAGATATGACACAGCAAAAGTAACAGCTAAGTAGTATTTTTATAAAATTTAAGGCAACCAATTAACTTAAACCATAATAACAAGCTAACAACAAACCCAACTAACCAGAAGAAAACCCAGAAAAATAAAAACTAAGCAAAGATACAGCTATTATTTTGATTCAAAAACTGCAACAAAACAGTATTTCAATCGCTAAGGAAAAGGACTTAATCCTAGCAACAACAGTTTAGCTAGAACCATCTATAAAAGTGCTAAAAATATTTTAATCTGCTAAATGGAAATCAGCTTTTTTCACTTATATACAGTTCGGCACTGACAAATACCGCATATACATATTGGTCGACGCGTAGGCCATAAATTCAAACCACAGGTCCGCCCACTTGATGTTTTGAATTTATTTTTGTGCAAAAGACTTGAAATATGGTTAGATGATACAGTTGTTCTTGAACAAATGGTCCATGMTYTCGAATCTGATAAGATGTCAGACAAAGGCCATTAATTTCGAGGCCAATTTCCTTTTTTTCAGATTCTTTTGCTGAATAACTTGCAGGGACATTTGGGCTAAAGTGGTTGCATAAAGAGAAAGGAAACAAATAATGAGAGAGAGAAAAGGAGTGAAAAGTGTTGAAAACCTATTAATTATGCTTTATAAATGATGAGTGGAATTTGCAATTAATGAATTTTGAAAAATTTATACATATGATAAAAACATTTACTCATTAACATAAAAAATGGCAAATTCGATGCTTTTGCTCTGAAAATCAWGAAAGCAACATGAAAGCAGCGACAAGTCTTCCGCGAAACCAATTRAACATATCGGACAGTCATGCACATTACTCATTTTCTAGAAAAAACGKTTATTTCAAAGTGATYCAAGTACGCACACTCTACATTATTGATAACTAGAGTACAGATACTAGTACRGTGCAATACTTTTCTCTCTTTACTACTAAACCCTTACTAAACAATCGAAAACAATATAAGATTAGCATAATTTAGGTGAATTTCTGCTGCACACTTTCAATGTTATATAGCTCATAATCTTATTCAAGTTTCTCCTTCGTATTAAAGGTTAGCTCCAATGGAGTACTGTCCTTTAATCGCGCCATAAAATTGTACCGTCATACGGACCTTTCTGACCAGAAAGAAGAAACTTTGATTGCTCCATACTGGGCAGARGTTGACACTAGTAGAGGAGGCGATGTCTGGTACCGTGTGTCGAAAAATCCGTCGGACCTTCGAAGAGCTAATCGTGATATTCGAATCAGTTTTCAAAATGATTTCGACTTTGAGTCAAAGTGGTGTTTGATTGCAACATGGAATAACGTGGCGTTTTTTGGAAGATGGTCAAGGTATAAACATTTGGTGAGTCCATAGTTATGCGTTGTGAAGTTTCAACAGCGTGCTGAGTGTGAGGTCGTCAGCGCAGTAAGTGGCGTAAACTGGATGTTGCCAGCGTTATTGGRTCATGTACGTACAKCAGAACCTGATGAAGGAAAGCAATTTGCAGTTATAAGTCGTCTACCCATGAAGACACCCCGSTTTATGAAATGAATGAGTGCTATGCAAATAGACCACAATAGAAACCTTTCATTTATGGGAATACAGTTCCAACTGAAGGACAAAACAATGGATTCTAGATCCCAAACGGGCAAACATCTTTTGTTTTGTCCTCCACATGAAMCTGKTTTGACGTCACATGCAAGGGGTCTWTTGTCTATGTAATCATTGAGTTTTTAATGAATTAATATTATCCCCATACTTCATTTCATAATTATAGTCAAATACCTTCCAAGTTATTTTGACGACCGARGGACAACGAACGTTTGTTATATTTTTATACTCAAAACTGGATTGGACAACAGGGAGATTAAACGGTGGAAACTCTAAAGGACTTGWWGGCCATCCCTCGCAGGTATGTGCTGAGCACTACTCCTTTGTCTGCATTCCTACGTTCCCCAGAGAAAAAATGAATACAATTTTTTTAAKTTTCTAGGCAGGGATCATTGCAAACAAAAATGTATACAAAATTCCATTTTCTGGTACTGGAGATATGCTGCAMCTGGTCAAAACMTCCAACGTGGGATTTCCTGGAAAATGGGTTTTACGAATTGACAGAGAAATTAAAGATGTTGAAAAAGATATTTGTAGAATCAAAGGTAATTGATGGAAAGTAGCGCCTGCTTTGAGTTGTTGACTGAAAGTCATTAAGCACTTTTGCTATTTGTGGTGAACAGCCTTTCTTCCAACCACTTTCAACTTCCTGCCACCRGTCCTCSTCGTCATCCAGTCTCCGTCGTCCCCAATCCTCCTCTGGTTTCACCTTTTCTCAGTTTTAAGGGATCATAACATGACTGTCTCCATATTTCTCTGCTCCATTTTTCCATTAGTCGTCTTTTGTTCATTTCAAGTCTTGAGTATGATTGARACCTAAAAATTTACCTTGCAGGCTCTACGCGAAGTCAGCCAAACATTTTTATAACAAATACTCCTGGTAACAAGACGCATCCACGACATGCTTGCTTGTGGCCTGAACATGGCTTTCAGTGTGCTTTTAATACTGAAATCAATTTAAAAGGAAACTTCATGAATGACAGAGCATTCTGTARGTTACCAGTGTTTAATAAGACCGGGCAAGCAACAGTTAACATCTCGACGTACAATGGTCAAAAGTTATATCAATTCATTACCAAAATTACTTTGGGTAAGAGGACGTCGAAAACTTTTGCACAACTATTTCCCCTATAAAGTGTTTTTATTAAAGGGACATTGTCAATGGATGACATGCGCAGTAACAGTCTCACCTCTAACGGACTTTGAAAGTATAACCTTCGAGGTAAATCATTTTGTGGTGCTTTTGACACACTTTGGAATATTCTWGATCTGTTTACGTTTACGATCTGATTTATGTCGCGCCAACTTGGAGTCATAAACTTGAAAACACTAGCCTAGTGTTTTCAAGTTTACTCGCGCATGTCATCCATTGACAGTGTCCCTTTAACCCGTGAAATGCTAGACTTTATCGCTCTTTATTGTGCACTTTTATATATTTTTTTATATTTTGACGTATCACATATGATTAAACGTACACTTACCATTGCACTACTACACTTTGGTTCACGGGGACATCACTCTACATTTATGAGCCTTTTCCAGTGCAATCCTTCACGTTTTTTTTTTCATTTTGAAATTAAAGAAATTTTCGATTTTAAAACCAGTTAGCCCTTTAATATTTAAGATCCTATATAGAAGTTTACATTTAATACCGAGGAAAATAAAAGTATGGTTTCTCAAAATATCACGATTTGCCTCAAGTGAAATTGGATATCTATCAATTTAATTTATTGCAGTAAATAAGACAGAATATAAAAGGCTTTCAAGGCTGACGACAACACAAAAACCAACATTACCAACGACTGTCATTATTGGTGGAGGTAGTACAACCAGTGGTGCAGGAAGTGGTGGAAACAGTACCAGTGGTAACAAAGATGGTGGTGGCACTGGCAACAGTGNACCATAATTGCCATTGCTCGTCATCAGTGAAGTGTTAATGAAAAAAAACTCCAACACTTATTTGAAACTCAAATCCATTAAAATTCTTGGAGAAATTGCCGTACAAATATGTTCTAAGGTAAATAGGGCAAACTGATCATGCGCGAATCACTTTACAAAGCACTCTTGTCATCCCACATTGAATACGCATAAAGTAAAATAGAACCACTCTTGGCTGTTCACTGCTTTCGGTTGACATCCTGCATTGGTCAATGATCAGGTTTCAAACCTAAGACCTTTGCTAGGGTCATGGACTTTATATCTGATAAAGGTCACCCTTATTAGTATTAGTGTTTTATCAGATATAGTTTTATCAGATATAAAGGTCCCTGCATGTGACCGAATAGGCTCATTCTATTGGCCTATTAGGCCATTAATTATGTATGAGTTTTTGAACTTGGAATAAACAAAGCAACCAAAACGATAAGTTAAATACAAATGTGTCCCAAATGGTTGAATCAAGCACCAATTAAAAAGTAAGTACGTTATTTGAAAGCTAAAATTTAAGCAGGGAAATTCTAGCTAATTTGAACATTAAAATTATCAAAATCATTCTTTTTTTTATTATTATTAAAATTAATAACATCGATAGTTGTGTTTTTGGGTATTGCTTTACATTAGTTTTGGCCATATTAATATTTTTAGCTTTTTACTAAAGTATACCAAATAATGTATATATTCATTTATTGTTCTTGTTAATGTTTTCAATCATGAATTCAGAACCATTAAATAAAAACAATCTCTATCCAACTCTATTTTTAGATCTAACGTTAATTGAAACAATGTCCCTTGAGAGATTTTCCGTCTTGATGCACCTAACTGTGTTTTTTAACGAAATCCCTCTGAAGAAGTCGTAGCGCCTCGATGAAGTGAACTTGAAAAGTACTCACATCATGTAATTCACGCACTGTATTTATAACACACCGGTAACATGCAAGAGTAGGTTGAGTCTAAAGACCTGAACTTTACGTTGTCAATCTCTTCATAACGGCACATCACTGATTTCGGCGCTGTACACGTGTTTCAGGCAACATGAAGGTCACACAACGGTACTATCTGTGCTTGAGCTTGAACATCGAGTCAAATTGGGAGTACTTTGAGTGTTCGGAAGATCGTTTGTTGAAGCACAATATGCTTCGTTCATAATGGAATAGTTGTTTGTGGAGTCCATGGTTCTAGACTAAAAATGAATAAGAATTAAAGAGTCAACACTAAAGAAACGTTTTTAAAAGGGAACAAATGACAAAATGCAAGGTGAATAAAAGGTAGGGATGAAGAAAGAATCAGTGGAAAGAAAGACACGGAAGAAGGTAAGGATATATACAAGGAAACAGCAACAGCAACAACAACAACAACAACAACAACAACAACAACAGCAGAAGCAGCATCAACAACAGCATCAACAACAGCAGCAGCATCAACAATAGCAGCAGCAGCAACAACAACGACAACAACAACGACAACAACATTAACAAAAAGGAATGAAAACGTAAACAAAATATAAGTGTAACTTTCAAATATCACTTGTAAAGGAGTTTTGAGCTTTAGACTCTGAAAGGCAAAACACCACGTAACTCACGTCGTTTTCGTTGCAGGTTGAAGGCCTTTCAATTTCAGGTAGATCATCTAAGTCATAGTGTCTACGTCTACAAGGAAATTAGAAAATAAATTCACAATGTATTGCGGAAAATCTAAAGCATTCTTGACAATTATATTTGGTTTTTATTTCTCTCTCTAATAATTCAGTATTTACTATTGGTTTCTTCTTTCGGTTTCAAACTTTCTTTCTCCTTCTCTTTCTCCCTTGTTTTCATTTCTCCCTTTCCTTTATTCGCCTCAAGCTTTATATGAAACACAACGAAGCTATTGAAAAGCAACTATATTGTTATTAATGACTGGCAATTGCCTATTTCATAATGACGTCACAGTAAGATGCTCAAAAACAGTGGAAATTTGAACCATTTATATTCTCTCCGAAGGTAGAACTTCAATGTATCATGTTTTGTGATATATGTCATGTATTAAAGATGGCTCATGCAGTCACTCTGACCCCCTCTAGCGAATGTTAGATGTGATGTGATGTTATAATGAAATATCGCAAATTGGTTCGTTAGTTGAAGGGGTACAATAATCCAATCCAATCAACACACCTTGGATAATACCTTCGGKAAAACCAAACAGCCAGAACAAAGGCAAAAATACCAATTAATGGAACGATAATGTTAACAGCGTAGTTCATTTTTCTGTCGCTTTTGGGTACCTCTGGTTTGTGTGGCGGATCTGGAAAAGAAAGAGAGATGAAAGAAAAATAAAGAGAAAATCAATACAAAAATAGAAGCACGTTAGACAATAGACAGCAGCTATCAATTTTTACGTTATATCAGTAAGTTGCGAGGTCAACAGCTTTCTCCAAAGTTTCAAACTCACTGTTGTGCTTATATATTTTTGCAGTCATTTTTATTCTAGTGAATAATATTAAAGAATTAACTTGTAAATTTTTATTCAGTACACTGATATGAGCTAGCTTAATAAGCGTCTCTTCACAAGGATAAGACAAATTCAAATGAGAGAGTTCATCAACCAATGTTATTGTGTGACCATACAATACCTTTTACAACTAAAGCCTTCAAGGAAACTGGGTAACTCTTCCTTCCACATCCACCACCAGTGCAAGCTTGTATAGTAAAGCTATAATTAGCCATTTCTAAACTTTTAGTTACCAAACTGGCATTTCCTGCAGCTACTTCTTCCGTAAGGGGTTCAGCATGTGGTTTGTCTAAGTTGTGAATTATAACTTTGTATAATTCTAGTTTTCCACGAAGAATCATGGCATCTTCAATTTCCTGTCATGAGACAGTTTATTGGTTACTACTACTCGAAGTAAACAAACAGGGTGTCAATAAACACTGGAAAAAATCGCGCGCTTTAAAGGTTGTAAATTTGATGTAAATATGATGTAAGTGTCCAAACTTCTGTAAATTTGATGTGAATGATTGTCATTAAATTTACAGAATTTTGGACACTTGCATCAGATTTACATCAAATTTACAACCTTTAAAGCGCGTGATTTTTTTTCCAGTGAAACAGTCATCAAACCACGCTACGCACAAATGAATGCAACTGATGTCAAAGATTCCTCGATGARTTCATGCATTACCTACCCTCCAAGCAATCAGAGCGACTCCTTTCTCCTTAGAGGACTGTTCATCAAGCCACCGGATAACCACTACAGTTGGCGCCTTTGAAGGAACTGAAAATATAAAGTGAAAAAACCATAAGTTGAATGACAGTGAACTATAGCAAACTGCAGGTATTATCTGGACTGGTCTTCTAGCAATACAAACAACAGTGCTACAATTGATACTGTGGGGAGCCCCCTCGTGTATCTTTGCACTATAATCATCTTGGTGTTAACATACCATCTTGCTTGGTCCACACCGTAACAGTTGATGGTGATGATTCGAGATCATAGATTTTACAGGAAACATGTATGGTGAGCTTGGTGTACGGAAAGAGAGAACGTATCGTGTAGTTCGTGTAACGTCCTGTACGGGTTAGCGTCTAATAAGGAACAAACAATAACAATTATGAAATATCATCATTATCATCATCATCATCATCATCATCTTACCGTCATTTTCATTGCTATTACATAAAATATACAATCTTGGAGCAGGATATACTCTAAGATGAGAATATCGATATTCACCCAATAAATTGTTATCCAGTGCAAAACTTTATACACTGTTTAAAACCGCACCARTCCCATATGGTAAACAGGATTAAAAACGTGTAACGTGGTAGTAAAGATATCAAGAGGACCGATCATGCAAAGTGCACAGGAAGGGAAATTGATGTAAGAGMAAGAAGCTTGAAAAGTGAGTAAAAAGAATTTCAAATGCATCATTTACTTACTTCCATTTCACTTCCACAATCAGGGCTGCACCATATCCGATGGATAAGAGAAGGTATGCTTGAATTTGCCATGCATTTAGGTGTTTTCCAGCCAACAACTATACTAGTTGTTTTTACTTCATTAACCTTTAGCTCGTCAACCTTTCCACATTCAGCTGAGAAAAAAATGCTGACTGATTATTCTCGTTGTAAAGGAATGGAACATTTCAACCGTATCATTCTTTGTCAGGTTTTGATATATTTGTAAAAAAAGAGTGCAWATACTTAAAGGGCGAAAAACTTCAGTGTTTCAGTGTTTTTACTCAATCATGAAATTCAGAGTTAAGAATGTGCAAAATACTGAACAAAAGTAATCCACTGTTTAAGAATTTAACAATAAGAATTGACTGTTTCGGCCACATTTTTTGTTGTTGCTACTGAGACAGGCAATTTGTTTGGGTGATATAAACTGACATGTCGAAGTGAGGAAGGGAAACCATTACAGCTCACTGAACTATTTCAGAGATTCCATTGAGTAGGAAGAATGTCTAACAATAATAATATTTACCTTTCTTATGAATACTCCATATCTCTGGTAGTTTTAAGTATTTGCGACCAAATTTATTAGTTATCATCACTGTCGCACACAGAAAATCGCAATCAATGCCTGCACAATTATGTTTAATGGGGAAAAGCTTTTTCACTGTGGAGCTTACATCTGCCTGAAATGTCAAGTTTTTCATGGTTCTAAATGCTTGAGTTCTCTGGTCGGCAATTTGAAATTGCTGATTTGAAGAAACGGTGCAAAGGTTTTTCGATAAGTTACTCCAWGAGGGGTGTGATAGAAGAAGCTTGATTGTTATAGGGTAAGCAAGTGGCGATGCTGAAGGAAGTTCATATGTTATAACTCCAGCAACAGGGGGAATGCCAAACAAGTGGTTTAGAACAGGAGAAGATGGTTCAGGTGGAGTATCTGCAAATGAAAATAGACGTATGATTATAGAATTATATCTTTTCTCAAATCCTGGAAGGTAATAGAAAAGCTAACAGTCATAGAGACATGGTGTGGGAAGCTTTCTTCACACATCACTTGACGTTGCCAATATAGTTCTGTGTTATTGCTACTTGAATGGCATGAATGAATGTCAGAATGATGAAATAAGGGCAAAATACATAAATAAGAAATAGATGAATAAATATCACATTTGAAAAGTTTACAAAGCTTGTCTGAATATTATGTAAATAAACTGTAAATCCAATCTACAGTTAACATAGTCTTCCACAAATTTTGTAAATTTTATGTACATTCTGTAAATATCCTGTAAATTTTGCTGTATCAACATTGCAAATATCTTGTAAATTTTGCTCGATCAAAAATTGTAAATATCTTGTAAAATCAGAGCAGGTTAACTGTCAATTGATCAATTTTCAGTAAATTAATGGAGTCTGAAAATTGATCAATTTTTGCAGTGTCAAAGAATAATTGCATCAATCTTGTGGACTCACCCCCAACAATAACCTCCACACTTCGCTCAGCTATTTTCACACCTTGATTGTTTCTTGCAAGACAAACATAATTTCCTGCATCATTGTATCTTAGTCTGGTAATATTCACCAAAGCAATAATGGTGTGCACTGTGTATAGAGTTTTACTGTTCCACGACCATTCAAGAGAAATGTTTGTTCTAGTTCTATTAAAACCATAAATACACTTTAGATGTAGTGAAGACCCGGCAGCTTTATACTGAACATCTTGGACTGGCTCTATACGCAAATCTAGAGAGAAATAAGTAATTGTTATTTAGATATTCAAATTGACATATTTTATTACGAGTATAGTATATGATGGAAATCCTCTGAAACCAAAACTAATCGCAATAAGTGAAAAAGAATGCGAAAACAATGACATTGGAAACTAGTTGACCAAGTCAACCAAAAGAATAAACATTTTCGTGTTTGTTTGGAATGAAATCAATACACCTCTATGAATGAATATTAGTTGAATAGAGAAATCAATGGATTTGATGAAGAATGTCTTAATGTCCTAATGAATTAAACTAAAAAATTCTAATATGTAAATATCTCTCAAAAAAATATTTAATGCTTAACAATTTACATAATTATTCAAAATTTAAACAACAATGGAAAGGTCACGCGACAGAACCTCGAATCGTGCCTGCACGATTAAGATTTAAATAACGGTGCTCCTCTTCGGTTGGCAAATAATTTTTTTTAGCAGATTGACGAGCAAATTCAGTGAAAGATACTTTCAAACCTTTATGCTGCGAACAAAACAAATTGACAGTGAAATAGTGACTTCGTTTTGCCACAAACCGGAAACGTTGGTGTCTACTAGAAAGAGAACTTTTCTCCCTTCCATCGGACAACTATGCAGAATTTCCTCGTCACTTAAGCGTAGCATCGYCTGCAAAATGTTTTTGAAACATCGGTATATCGAATACATATTTTCAAACTTGTGGAAGCAGTTRCATCTTAGAAAGCATGCTGACTAAATCATYTTGCCTAGGTCCGATTATCATACATTCCTACAACTAAAAAAACACAATGAAAAAGAAACACAATCTTACCTAATTCAGCTGATGATATCTCCAATCCACAAAGAAAACTTGGAGCAAAAAACAAGAGCAAGAAGAACCAGCTACTTGTAGCCATTCTTAATAAACGAAGTCATCTCGGTTCGGATTACAATTCATAAGTCAACAATTAACTGAACACATGTCATGTTCTATTAATACAACACTCAGTTAAACATTGATTCATAGTTGATGGAAACAAGTGTTACTTTTCTTATGTGCGTTGAACGGATTGTTATTTTTATCTGTATATAATTACAGGAAAGTGAAAGTGAGCGTTTCTTTACCCTTTTTTACATTCATGTGTAACAAAGTTTCACTTTGTTTCGCTGCCTGTACCGACCCGTACTGATACCTGATATAATTAAATTGGGCAAAAGGGTCAAAACGTCCGTATTCATGTTCTCACAAGTCCACAGTGAAATTAAACATTGTGAAAATGTTAAATACCAAAAGGAAAAACGCTTCTTTGTGGAGATGTGTTTAAGTGTACACACAAGTGCATCTTTCCTGGAGAAGCGTGCCTTTTTTAAGAATCAAATCAATTTTTCATTTTGGTGAGTATTTTAGCTCTGGGAAAATGGCAAATGATCTCTGGAACCACGTATCGAGAAGGAATGCGGAAAAATGACTGGAGCGTGCTAGCTGTCACTCCCGCCTATAAGAATGGAAAGTAAAACTAATAAACATTAAAATAAATAAAATATTATTGCTTGAGTTTTGCACTGTTTATAGTGAGAGAATTGTCAGCTTGTCGAAAAGCTTTTACTTTTCTTTTAATAAAGGAAAATCACTTTAAAGATGTCCAGTATAACAAAGCCAGAGTTCAACACATGACGAAGAAAAAAATCAATGGTTATCAGCTATAGATGGTTATTTATTTAAACGATTTTTACCCCATACCTGACCATTATTTACGATCATGCATTCCATGTGATTGCAGCGGTTCAACCTCCCAAGAACCCCCTCCCCTCCCCCCAGATGAAACTGATCTTGACGTTACATCCGTCACATCGCTACATGTATGGAATGCAGGGGTTTTTTGTACCCCTATTTCTCAATTCAAAACGAATCAATCATTTCAATTATCATCATTTCAATTATTGTTCAATTACAAAGAGGAACCTAGTCTCCCGCAGTAATACTTCAAACAGGAAGCCCAAGCTCAAAGGAGTCGATCCAATCACACCTCGTGTTATTGATGTGTCTTACTGCATTCTTTATGCCAATCATCCACGGAATATGGGCTTGCTATTTTACGGAACCTGACACAAGTAAGAAATAACAAATCCTTCATAAGAAAAAAAATACTTCACATTATTGAAACAATGATTTGATATATAGAATTGAAAATGAATAATTTGGAAAAATGACAAGAATGAGGAGGCAAAACAGAAGGAAAAAGTAAAATTATTAGATTCTACTAAACACTTACTTTTCGAATGGACATATTGTGCTGTTCATTCCAGGAAGNGGTGGTGGTGTTGGTGGTGGAAGTAGTAGCAATTCTGGTGGTGGTGGTGGTGGTAGTGGTAATAGCAATACTGGTGGTGGTAGTGGTAGTAGCAATGGTGGTAGTGGAAGTAGCCATGGTGGTACTAAAGGTGGAAGTGGTAGTGCCAGTGGCGGTGGCGGTGGCGGTGATGGCAGTAGTGGTACCAATGGTGGAAGTGGTGGTACAAATGCTGGAAGTGGGGGTACCAGCAGTGGAAGTAGTGGTGGAGATGGTGGTGTCCAGAAAGGAACCGATAGCAATCAAAAAGAAGTCAATGGGGAAAAAGGTGAAAATGGAAAAGAAACTAACAATAAAAGCACTAATYCAAAAAGGAACATTTTAACAGTGCATGAAAACATAACAACTGTTTCACCCACCACAAAATACAGTCCATGCCCAGGTGTTTATATTGAGCATGGTCAATTGCACAAAACTGCACTTAAAGACAATTATCGAGTGAAATGTAACAATGGGTACCACTTGCACGGTGATGATCACCTTGTCTGTCCTAAAAATGGAGAAATGATGGATCCTATCCCAGCATGTATACAAAGTGAGTACAATATAGTCGTTTTAATCAATTATGTATCAAGTAATAATATACACATTACAATTTCAATTCAATTTCCACTTCAGTACTCCAGTTTCAAGTTCTTATTTTTGCAGCCTTAACCTCGAAAGCATGTAATATATTCCAAAACTCTGTGTACAAGGAAGACAATAAAATTTATGCTTGATTGAAGATAAGCTTGCACAAAAGAGAATCGAAAKTGGAGTATTTGCACATTCAAAATCTTGTATTCTGTACCTTCACTCCACCCCATTTCCATTCAGATAACATGCATTGTGGTTGAASCCAGTGTATATTTCAATCGACCGTGAAGAAAAACGATCTATAGTTCATGTGTATTAGAAAGAAAAACAATGAATGTCAAGTTTACTACGTACAAACTATAATCGTTATAGTATACCTGTAATAGTTATAACTATAACCAGAAGTACATATGTACTTCTGCTATAACTATAACTTTTTCTTCAACGGTCGAAGGAAAACCACGTTTTGGGAAAGGGACTAGTTCAGTCGTCTTTGACTGTGCTAGAGTACCTAAGACTCTACACTCCGTTCGCTATGTGCCTTTGCATCGACGCTAGAGAGCCTTTGAGCTTGCTATGYTAAAAACATTTTGTCACACCTACAAACAAATACTCTCAGGTATCTATCATTATACCCTCACCGGTCGTCTTGCTTCGATCCAAAGGGGCATMCAGCGGCCTGGAGCTGTGGAGAAGACTTTTCAATTTGTTTTGAAGATTTTTTGTTATCGTTACAGTTGCCAACGTTTCCAGAATCAACAAAATGGCATTAATATCTTGGGTTCTCATCCCATTTGGAATCGTCATATTTATTCTTATCATTGTTATAATTATTCTCATAAGAAGAATACTGCAATCTCATAAAGAGAGATTAAAACTTAAACAACAGATGAAACCACATGTAAATGGAATGAAAGTATGATTAATAGGAGAATTTTGCATATCAATAAGTCATGAATTGTGACTGAAGGAAACTCTTCAAGGTATCAAGATATACGTCTGGAGCTTTATAGAAATATTCTCAGAATATGCTTCTGGTCTTGGTAATTGCTTTGAATGCGACCATAAGCGCAAAAGCAAAATCAAACATAAAGAAAAAGCGACACCGAAGTTAACTTCCTTGTGGTATACCATATTTGAAGTGCTTGAAAGTCAGACACTCCTCAAATGCAAACGTCCATAACAAATAATATATTTATCTACTGAAAATCGAATAAACATCTGGAAGAGTCCAGATCAAAAGCCAAAAAATAAAAACATAATTCTTCAACTTCCATTTCTTGAAGAAAACGATATTTAAAGAWATATAAAAGTTCAAAACCGCGAAAATAAATTGTATAGTGTAGTAGTATAGACAAATTCATTTACATCACATTTTTTCATAACAAGAATTTTCAGTTTATTTTGAAATTCACAGTGAAAACTGCATCGACGCCATGCTGTTTAGATGGWAGGAAAATATTTTCTTTTTAAGATAGATGACGCTCTACTAAATAAATTAAAGCGATTATGCAGTGGAACCTTTATTAAGCGGTCACGTTGGGGAAAGACCAGATGACCGCTAACTGAAACATAGGTTGAAAGTTGAATCTAGAGGTCATGTATGAGAATTGGCTTTTTGAGGAATTCATAAGTGACCGGTCAATGGAGGGTGACTGCTAATCAAAGGCGGAATGTATGTAAATTTGGAAAACCATACACAAGTTACGATACGAGATATATAAGAATTTATAACAATACTGAGGTATATTAAGGCTTTGGCTGAGCCAAATTTGCCATGTTTAAAGAGCTTCTTGTCTTTTCTTTAGTAATTTAAGAGAGTGATACTTTACACAAGGTGCGTTCATGGTTCAATTAATATATTGAAGTCCAAATAATGCTGTGGATATCCCCCGAAGCGAATCTACATTTAAATTAGCCCGCCTCGTATTCATTTAGTACATTCTCAAATATCACTGTGATTGATGATCAACAAAACAGAAGTTGATGCGAACAATTGTGAAAAAATCTTGCCGGTAACTCCTCAGTCATTTCATCAAGTGAAATCTTCCAAGAGGTTATTTTCGATCAACATGATGTTGATGCACATCAAAGATCATCAAAGACCGACATTTTTCAATGACAACTAATGGAATTCTTTATACGCATGAGGAGGCCCACTGGGAACTCCAATGAAAAGCGGCGAGTTAGATATGATCCCTTCACGTAAATATAAGAACTTATAACAATATCATTAAAAGAAAGAGAAAAAATATTTATATATGTGTAAATTATAGACTGATAGACGTAACTATTAAACATCAAGACAAAGAGTAAGGATAACAACTTTTTGATCACAGTTGCCACGGTTACACATTGAAGCGGTGATCATGTTTCAATTAATTTAAGTCCAAATAATGCTGAGTATATCCCCAAGGCGAATCCCGATCCATATTAATTCAATATACATTCTCAAATATCAATGTAATTGATGATCAACCAAACATAAGTTAATGCGTACAATTATGAAAAAAAATCTTGCCGGTAACTCCTCAGTCATTTCATATATACCCCATCAGCTTAAATGGATGTCTGCAGTCTTTGCTTGTTGTGCCTTAATGTGCAACTGGGTCCTTTTCGATTGATGAACATTAAAAATCAACGATGATCGACATTTTATTACTGACAACGAATGAAATTCTTTATAAGCATGAGGAGGTCCACTGGAAACGGAAATGATGCGTCGATATTTAACCTGGTACACTCTAGATCCTTGCTGGGTATCTTTGTTTATGTCGACGAGTATTTGAAAGAATTGAGTTCCAGAATTCGACGTTTTATTTTGGAATATGTCGTCAAAACTGTACAAATATGAACAACTRGCGGTCCAACCAGACGACGAATTGGAGCAACTTGACAAGAATAAACATTTAGTCCAAGACGAACTTTTAGTTTCTCCACACGAGGAAATGCAGAGCAAGGAGATCAGTATTTGGAAAATGGTTCTAAACCTGTTAAACTACATGGAAGGCGTTGGATTCCTGGCCAT